TAGAGAAGAAGGGGACAGGAAAAACAGGAGATGGAGATGATGGTGAATAGAAGAGAGGGGGATAAGGGGGACTCTTTGTTCAGGTCAGAAAGTGATAGTGAATAGAAACCCAAACCAGATGTTTTAGTGACCTGTGGGGTTTATAAGGGAAGAGGTAAATGTTGGGACCCCTTGCCTTCTCCAAGAGAGATGGTGAATAGAGGATAGGGGGGTTACAGACTGGGGGATGTAGAGGGGAGAGAAATTTAGATCATAAAGATCTGCATTAACATAACGCAAAATGTTTAGAACTTAAAACTTAACCCAAGGAAATAGAATGAGGTGCACATGCTATTTATATATCGTTAAATATATCTTCTACCATTGAGGGATATACGATACAATCTCATCTAAAGAAATATAAGATATCCATGAGTAAATTGTACAATGTGTGTGAGTGAATAACAATTATGCTATCGTACTTGGTATAAATGTAGGGTGTAACTTCACATCCCTATTCTAGATGGGAGATCAGTCATTAAAACACTTTACCCAGAGAGTGACTAATGTTATAACAGTCGGTAAGTTTGACAAACTACGGCCACATATCTGCAGTCATTTCGACAAACATGGGAGTTTCCTACTTGAATCTCGTAAAACGTGTATTTCGTTGGTGATAAAGTTATCCTATTTCTGTGTAAATGAACCAAATGCATTGAAATGGCCAAACAAATATTTCCTACACAATGGTGAAAATCTCTGATAAAAATATATTTGATGATACAGATTCCGTAATTATATATCCAATGTCATTCAATTTCAAAGAGTAAAATCATCCCTCTATACCTGAACACATCTTTAATTTTTATTCCTTTTCCTTTATTTCAGATATATCTTTATTTATTTTTCTTTACTTAGTATGATTTTCACATCTTGTGTATAATATTGTAAAACAGACCAAGGTGGTCTTAATTCTTATCAACAAAATATATATGTAGCCAGTCTACGGATGTAAGCATGTTTTCTGACAAATTTACTGGATCAGACATATGTAGTATAAAGACTTAATTCAAAATAAACACAGTCTAAAATTATGAGCAGATTCTGACCAAATTAAAACATCCTGTATCAGAAAGTGGTACTTTATATAACAAATTCATGGAGTATCCATTTCACTACCATTGACATTACAGCCGAATTAGCCTCAATCTGTTGCACTACAAATTTAAAGTGTCTCAGATTCCTCCCAGTGACAAATGCAAACCATGCTGTGACATGATTTCTGTGCATCAGATTACTCCCAGTGACACCACTTGTTTGTAATGGCTGAAGACTGGACATGATTTATAGCTGGTATATATCTCTATATTTACATAACTGGGCCTGTACAACATGCCTGATCCTTCCTCATACATGAATTATAATTGATTCTAACTAGATCAGCCTGAAACCTAATTTCCTCCTTTTATTACATAGCTATATATATATATACATATCAAATCGGAACAGAAAATTGAGAGGAAATATCATATAGATATCATATATATTAAACATGAACCATTGTCTCTTTGTATCCCAGTTTTATTACTGTTTTGTTATAAACATTAATTCTGACAGTTAAAAAACTCTTGTTGAATTTGTTGAACTCATTCACCCCTGAAGTTTCATAATGAGCCGTTCCTACCTTTGAATTGGAAGAGTTCAAATGTGTCTTCAGGGATGAATGAGTTAAATAGGAACTGTCATTAAGGATCTCTGTCTCAGTGCAGGAAAAAACACACTGTGGTGGTTTTTCGTATATACAGTAACCTCCTTTTGATTTCATTTTTTATACAACCAACTGTACGAAAATTCGGCAAAGACAGTCCTGTTGATCAGGAAACTGTTGGATTGAGCGACAGTATAACGAACGTGAGGTCCAGGGTTCGAATCCTAGTCTAGCTACTCTGGTTCTTTCACTCACAACACTGATGTTCATAATATTTTATTTCATCTTTATTTCTTTATCATAGAAGTCCTCCAAGGAATGGTTTTCTTTTTAGAAATTATTTGTCAAAGCTAAAGTTATGCCAGAAAAAA